TTTGATCCATTTCAAATTGGATAAGGGTTTGGCTTCATGGTCGGATTATTTTAGATTGGCTCAATCCAATAATTATAATGGACCGTCCAAATCCAGTTTGATAAGGTTTGGATCGGATTTGATCCAATCCAAAACCGGTCGATTAACACCCCTACTATCAATGGTTGGTAGGTGTTTTCTAATCAATTTCTAATATGCCAAAAGAAACTTTTATCAGTGTAAAGTTTCCAAAGAACTACATTATTTTTCTTCTTATATACTCGACTGGAGGTTGAAACCAAAAGTGTTGGCCACTAGGGGTGATCATTCTTAGCCTAACCCACAAATTTTTGGGTTTGGACTTCCAAGCCTCACTCAGCATTAGGCCCAAAATATTGTACTACCCCACTTGAGTTTTGTATAAGAAGCCAGGATCAGATAGGCACACTTAGGCGATGTTTGGAGCATGGTGAAATCATGATATATTAGGTTTCAAACCACACCACACCTCATTCACTAGTTCAGTTGTGGTGTGACATGGTTTGAACCCCACCATATCATGGTGTGTTCCTTGCCACACCCAAAATATCAGCCACAAGTTTTTCTTGTGGTCTCAACCATGCCACGGGGTACTATAGCCCCAACATTGGTTAGAGTGCTTTAATTTGTAGGTTCATTTTTAATATTTTAAATCATAGTTAATCAATTTTATTTTATTAGTTCTCTTATGTATGTGTTTTATATTTTTATATTACTTTTATTTTTGTATTAAATATTAGTGTTTTTAAATTTATTATTAGTATTATTAATATTTTTATTTTTTATTTTTTAATTATATTACTATTATTTTTTATAGCATATAAATTAATTCATTTTATTGATTTACATTTTCCTTAAAAACACCAAAAAATATTATTCTTTATCAATGGCATAAATCACCTCATATTGTGTATATGAGATACACTGAATCAAAATAAAATGTATGGTCTGAACCACACAACACCTTGTAAAATGCCTATGTAGGTGTGGTGCAGCCTAATTTCTTGACTACACTACAGAACACCCCTTTAATGAGCACACTCAATAAGCAACTAAGCACACATTGAATTTTTCTTAAACCTGCCTCATAAATACTCCAACTCTTGAAATTATTTAAAGCAATTCTTATTGCGTGTACTCACAAATCTGTGCCTACTGGATCTAGTCTCCTTGTATAAGGCCTGGTCTAGGCTTATAATTTAAGCTTAGAGTGTTGGTTGGCCAAAATCAAGCCTAGGGTTTACCCCCCCACTCTTGTGTAAGTTTTTTGACAATTTACTCGGTAAAGTCTTATCCTTCTCCTAGGTTATTGACAAGTTACTTTCCCACCTAACGAAAAAAGTTGCTAAAATTCAATGAGACAAAAATGCCCATTAAACATACCCATAAAACAAAAAATGGTATAAGGATAAAAATGAAACCCCTAAACTTTCATTTGCAACTGACACCCCCTAAACTTTCACTTTGTGATAAATACCTCCTGGCCATTAAGTTAGATGAGGGAATCCATTAAAATACCCAAAAAATACCTACTTGAACTTTCCTTATTTCATTTTTCCACCCTTTTCTCTTAATCCCTAAATAACCCAAATAAAATACCCCCATTTTCTCGAAACAAAACTAGATAAAATGACGAATCATTTTACTAACATAAAAAAAAAACAAGTTTCTTTAAATTATTGTTTCATTTCACTTACATGAATGTCTTTCTTCATCATAAAATAAAAAAAAAAAATTATCCATTCATTTCTCCAATAAACCAAGAAAACCCAAACCAAACCTTAAATTTATATCTATCAAAAAGAAACCTATACCATTTCATTTGAATATTGAATCCAACCAGAAATCTGTAAGGGTAGTTTGGGGATTTAAAAATGTTAAACAACTAAATAAGAATCTTTTTTTGATATTAACTAATGGAATTCTAATGGAGGAGGTATTTTGTCACAAAGTGAAAGTTCAAGGGGGTAATTGTCACTTCCCATAGTATAGGGGGTGCCAGCAATTTAACCCCCCCCCAAACAAAACAAAACAAAACAAAACAAAAGAATACAAATAAATGCACTTACTTGGGTAAGTGTTACTTAGGCCAAAATGCTAAGGCTGTCTTGGCTCAATCCATTAAATTGGTTGAATGCAATGTTTATGTGCTAAACTAGCGAACTTGGGGGGTGAAGACAAATAGTCTAAGATATAAAACATGAGTTAAGTAAAGAAAAATTTCAAGAAAACCTAATATAATGAAAGAATAGGATGCAAGAGACAAAAAGTGAAACAAGAAGAAAGAGTAGAGATGGTGAGAGTGAATGGACTGCTAGCAATAGATCATTTGGACTTTTACAACAAGGCACCTTAGGCTGAGTTTGGAAGGAGTACAAATGCAAATATGTAGAGCGCAAAACCTTATATTTTGTATGTATTTATACTGTACATATTTGCATTTGTACTCTTTCCAAACTGTGCCTTAATTGCAGTTTAGGGATGGAAAAATGAAAAGGGTTATTGTTAATAATTAGTAATATAAAAGCTTAAGAATGAACAAGTTTTAAATGCTGACTATCAATTGACACAACCCTCTTCCTTTATCTAGGCTTGGGACCAATAGCATAAGACAAGCTCACTCACAACCCTCCTTTGTTTAGGCTTAGGACCAATAGTACTGTAAGACAAGTTCACACTTGCAGAGTTGAAGAGTGGGAAACATAGTTTTTTCCCCTTTTTATGACATATTTATCATCACCAACCAAGTATATAATTTTCTAATTATAGTTTTTGTTGAAGAGTGGGAAACATTTTTTTTAAGACATCTATCATCACTAACCAAATATACTTTTCTAATTACAGTTTTTGTTGAAGAGTGGGAAGCATATATGTTTTTTTTTTTTTTTTCTTTTTTAAGACATTTTCTAATTATAGTTTTTTGTGTATGTGTAGGTGTAGGTGTATGGTGATGCACACAACCACTACATCGATCTATACTACATAAAGAGATCAATTGATAAGTGGCTTAGTTGGTATATTAGATGATTTGTTCCGATAGAGACGGAGGTGCTACCACCAAATTTGGGGTAAAAGTATTATATAAAACCGAAACTTGCTTTGGATTCCATGCAGGTCATAAACGTTAAATCCAAATACAACATATCATGTATGACACATACTCTTACACTAGTTACTAAGCCTAAGGCTTATTTTGAAAAGAGTACAAATAAAAATATATCCGATACAAATGCATACAAAAAATACAAAATACAAGATTTTACACTCTTTTTTGTTGAGCTGCATTCACTGAACCCTTTTAAAGAAATTAATGAAACCAACTCCATTGGAAAGCCAGTTTCTTGATAGAATGAAAGTGTATTTGGGCTTTCCGGATTGTTCACCAAATATAGCTTTTAGGATTCCTGTGTAAAGCTCACCTTGCAAAACTGGAAGCCTTGTGTAAAAGCTCTCCCAAATAGACACTAAATACCTAATTCATGATTGGTTTCTGCTAGTACCGACCCTAGACTTTTCTATTCAAGAACAGTGATTAAAAACAAGTTGCTTAATCGAAATGACGCAAAGTGTGGTCCAGCCTTGTTTAAGCGTAGAATTCATTTGAGAGGGCTTTTGCATTGATTAAACCCTTTTTGAGAAACTATTTGATATAGCTTTATTGAAAAGTCAATTTTACAGCTTTTGTTCTTGAGGCTGTGTTCGGAAATGATGCAAATAGAGTGCAAATCTTAGTTCAAGGTAAAGTTGTACTTTGATTCATTTTTGCCTGAATTTGATAACGTTATATAATATATTTATGCATTGACAAATAAAGTAAATTTACATTCAAGTGGACTTTTGATAAAAAAGTCATACTTTATTGGAATTTATGTTTATACCCACTATATCTAAAAGTCTTTTTGGTAAGAAGGTAAATTTGTCATACAAAACTAATCTAACTTTACAATTTATATCGATATTTTACATTCTACATATTTACATTCACACTTATTTGCATGGTTTCCAAATACAACCTAAAATTTTTGAATTTTTATCAAGTATGATTTACTCTGCTCCAAGCTCCTTATAACACCAAAAGCCATTGCATGAAATCCCTCCCATACGGCACTGAATTTGAGTTGAGATGCAAAGGGCAGGATTTTCCTTAGGCTTTCTACCAACCCTAACCAAAATACTTCTCCACCCCAATTATTGTATTAATTAATTAAAAAAATGAAAACATGAACCACGTTTAAAAAAAATACCCCAACAACTGTTGAGGTTAGATTTGAAATGTCTGGACTGGTAGAAAAGTGCCACATATAGTAACAAACCACCACAACCACCACGTTTTAAAGGCCTACCTATATGATCGGTGACTAGACTTAATGAGTTATGATCCAACAATAATCACTTTTTTTGTTGTCAAACCAAACACAACCCTTATTTCATTAATGAAATTATGAGAAATCATCCGTGGCTTCTACATCCCACCCCACGTCATCTATTTCGCTATTTCTTATATTTTCAGGGGCTTTTCAGTCAATAAAGTACCATTACAAGTTCACAACTCCGGACACGGTCGTCATTATCGTTAAGATTGAAGGCCACGTCATCTCACCCATCAGCTTTCGTGAGGCGGAAAACAGATGAAATTGTAAAACTCTGAGCCACAAAATTATTGTTGCCCAATCGTTGCTTGACAAGCGTCTTCTCGAGAATCCGATGTCCAACGTCGTTAACGGCCGTTAACTACCCTCTTCTTCTTCTTGCACTGCTATCTGCCGTCCATTTTCCACTTCAGAGATCTGATGGTTGGGACAAGCCAGCCGCATTGATCCATGAACTAACAAAAGGCCATCCGGTCAACTAGAGGAGCCTCCATTCATGAATTGACACGTGTCTGTAGATAATCATTCTTATGACAGCTACCATAGCCAACCGGAGAACCTGGGATCCCCGGTTGCCAACCATATAAAAAAAGTCACATTTTTTCTCTCTAATCCTCCATTTTCTTCCGGAAAGCTCTCTCTCTCTCTCTCTCGCTTTTCGTGAATCTATACAGAGATCTTTTAGGGTTTCTTCTGCCCCTGACAAGAAAAGAAGGTCAAGTATGTATAATTTCTGTCGCTAATCTGTGGAAAATTGAATTATCTAAGCTTTCGTTTTCTGTAATTTTAGAAGATTTGGGGTTTGTTTTCTGTGGTTTTGGAGGGACGACTGATCGATTATTCGGGTCTATTTGGTTACCTGGAATTTGTATATGTTTCCTTTTTGGATTCTGTAATTTGGATCCGTGAATTTCCCTTTCGTAGGAATTTTGACCATTTAATTGCGAGGTCGGTGAATTTTTCGATTTGTGATCTGAATTTAAACTTCTTTTTGGTCTTAATATCTATTGGAGAGCGTCTGTCGGCTAGAATTGAAAGATATGGTGTTTGTGAAATACGATCTATGTTTATTCCGGATTTAATGAGTTTAGGGACTTGGAACAACTTGCAAGGTGCTTCTATGATTAGTTTGGTAGGAAATTGAAGGACCAAGTGAGTCAAGGAATTTCAAGATTAAGATTAAAAAGATTCGGGTGGGCTCTCAGAGTCGTTTAATCTTCTTCACTTAAATTGTGGTGGAATCAGGTGTCTGAGGGTATTTACTTAAGAGCCAGTGGGACTAAAGAGTTCAGCAGGAAAAGTATTTGTGTATGGGCATTGTTTCAGGGAAGTGAATTTATGTTTAGGAAGGGAGCATGGCTGCTGCGACTGATTTATCGCCTCCATTTGCCGTATTAGAAGGTGGGTATGGTAAGGACAATGCATCTTCCGTGGAAGATGAAAATTCCGAGGTATTGGAAAGCCTGAAACAGATGAAGATCGGGAAACCTCCACGTCATCTATCTGTTATGCGACATTGTGTGAGCTCTGCCCGATTGGCTGCTCAGGCTGAAGTAAGTTATCAGGAAACATTTTATTTTCTGTGACTTTGGTATTTTATTACATATTTCATTTTATGGTTGCCATCCATCATTCCTTTCAAATGTTTTATATGCTTTTATCACCAATAATGGAATGTGTAAATAACTCTCCTCTTAACCTCTGTCCAGGAATTGGAATTTGAGACGTTTGGCATAAAATCGCCCTCGACTGGAAAATCTGGCTTTTTACCTGTCTTCCGTTCAGGAAGCTGTTCCGAGATTGGACCAAAACAGTATATGGAGGATGAGCACATCTGTATAGACAATCTTCTTGAACATCTTGATGCGAACGTGGATTTCCCTTCTCCAGGAGCTTTTTATGGGGTATGTAAAATTTGGCTTAAGGGTCACTTAAGCTTCAATAATGTTTCTCCTCGTTTGCTAATTTTCTTGTTATTCAATTGAAACATGATCGTTTCTTTCATGTTTCTAATGGTTACAAGGGTCCTCTGACTCCGAGACCAGTTGATCATTTTGACATAACTTTATCGTTGTCAAAAGATGGCTGTCTTGATGGTTGAGAACTCTCTAACCATTTCATATTTTGGCCATGGCCAACCGAAGAGATGTCTAATCCGTACTAGTGGGGACCTTGTGGGCTTATATATAATCTTCAGATATGGTACCATGACCATTAGTTCTTTTTCTGTTTTTCGTGATCTGCGGTTTCATTTTTTATGTGAACAGGTATTTGATGGGCATGGTGGTTTGGATGCGGCATCATTTGTCAGAAAGAACATTCTCAAGTTTATAGTTGAGGACTCCCATTTTCCTGATTGTGTAGATAAAGCTCTTAGAAGTGCATATTTGATAGCTGACCATGCATTTGCTGATGCTCATTCTCTAGACAGAACCTCTGGCACCACAGCTCTGACTGCTCTTATTTTTGGAAGGTTAGGACAAGGATTATTTTTCCTTTTGAAAGATATTTATTTCTCCTTTTTCTTTGTCATTTCATCTCTAGCAAAACCTTAGCTTTTGTGGTCATTGATTCTCTTAAAATTGTTTAGAAATAGTTCTTTAAATTGTATGTTTTTGTGCAATGCCATGTGCAGTCCAAATCTCCTACCCACAAGAACCGTACCCTTACTGACCCACGGGACACCACAGCTGCACATCGGCTTTGGTGTCCTGTGGGTAGGTGCGGGTGGGAGAGCCAAACACTGCTATGTGGGGGATGTTGACTGTTGTGCTTGTTTTAAATTTTAATGGAGCATCTATGTGGTAATTGAGGCCATGGATTAATATAGGTAAAACTGGGCTTTTGGTGGAATCAATTAGTAACAAAAAAGCTATGAATCTGGGTATCCATACAAGGGTGTGTTGGATACCACAATTTTTTGTGTAAATTTTATATCTCACCCTTTCCAGCAATGCCTTCGCCACATATTGGTAACATAGGTAAAAAGAACTTTTTATTTTTCTCAATAAGATTTGCATCTATCCGTCCACATTTCTGTTATGTGGCCATCCTGTATATCTATGTTCCTGGTGTTGGACTTCCCACCTTCAACATGGCATACAAGGGTTGCTTTTTTCTGTTTACCCTAGCAGTGATGGTGACATTCTAACTAACATCATTGGCATCGGTGGATTATGAGAAGTTATCCTCATTAGCACTGCTGTTCATGTGACACCTATTTTGCGTACTTGACCCACAGTTTTATGGATCAGCTAGAATCTATGATACCCACACATTGATACCAACATGGACATGGATATGAAAAATAAGAACCCAGAGACAGATATAAGTACATGTGTCCTATATGATATATCATGCTTCTATATCTGGTTTTTGAAACCAAGTTTGTTTCTCATGACTACCAAATTTAACCAACCTAACAGATAACAGATTCTTTGTAGTACTCATCATCATAATCATCTAAGCCTTGTCCCTACTACATGGGATTGACCTACATTAATCCTACTTTGATCTACATTCTGTTTAGTGCCATTTCCATTGTTAAATTATGAGTACTTGAATCATTTCTTACTACTTCAACCCATGTCCCCTTTTGGTGTGCGTTTAGCCCTTCTAGTCCCTTAAACTTGCAACCGATTGTTTCTTATAGGTGTTGTAGGTAGTCTTCTATGCACATGAATCTCTCTCTCTCTCTCTCTCTCTCTCTCTCTTCTCTCTCTCTCTCTTCTCTCTCTCTCTCTCTCTATATATATATATATACTTATTTATATCATGATTCATCGAAAACCTCACCGCTCAAGTGTTGATTGTATTTCTTTATTTTCCCTGTTGTTCTCCCTTTCTCATAATTGGTTTCATTTCCTTGTACGGTTTTGGTGGAAGTATGAAATCATTTTTTTTCTTATTTGAAAATATGATACTTCTCCTGAGATGCAGGACCATGCTAATAGCCAATGCTGGGGATTGCCGAGCTGTGTTGGGAAAACGAGGTAGAGCAATTGAGCTGTCCAGAGACCACAAACCCAACTGCACCTCTGAAAGATTAAGAATTGAGAAACTGGGAGGCATCATTTATGACGGCTACCTTAATGGCCAGTTGTCAGTCGCACGGGCCCTTGGAGATTGGCACATGAAGGGCCCAAAAGGCTCTGCTTGCCCGTTAAGTGCAGAGCCAGAGTTGAGGGAGACAATCCTGACCGAGGAAGATGAGTTCTTGATCATAGGCTGTGATGGTCTGTGGGATGTAATGAGCAGCCAGTGTGCAGTGACAATCGTAAGGAAAGAGCTGATGATCCACAATGATCCCGAAAGATGCTCGAGGGAATTGGTGAGAGAGGCACTCAAGCGCAACACATGTGATAATCTGACTGTTGTTGTAGTCTGTTTCTCCCCTGACTCACCTCCTCGGTTAGAGATCTCTAAATCCCGAGTTCGGAGAAGTATATCAGCAGAAGGGCTGAACTTTTTGAAGGGAGTGCTGGATAGCAATGTATGATGTCTGGCGGCCTGTATAAAAGAATTTGTGGGTTTACATGATTGGAGATTTTTGCTGAGCTGCGTCCCTTGGTCATAGCCAACATTCAGCCTTGTTCAGGGAGCAATAACAAAAAAAAAAAGAATGTATTGAGTGACCAAATCCTGTACATTTGAGAATTGATTTGAGATTACATTATTTTGTATTGATTGAAAACCTCTCTCTCTCTCTCTCTCACACTCTCTTAAATAATTAAATTGTCCAGTGCTAGCGCTGTGCGCTGAGCATATCAGCGGGCGGTACTCGGAAGATGACCGGCTGGAATGTCCTCCCAAAAATTGCTTCAGACCCAAGCAGCAGCAGTTACACTAGGGTTTGAAGAATACATTTTATGTTTTTAAATTTTTATTGACCTTGAGTTTGTTGGGTAATACATTTGACGCTCTCAAGCCTGTTTTGTTTTTCCAACGGCCCAGCTCCTCAGAGTTCAAACTCAACACTTAAACCATATAACAAGGGCTGTAAATGGATCACGTTGATCTAACGATCTGGTTCATTCAATTGACAATTGGAGTATTGGAACATAGGCCTAGGTGTGTTATACTAGGATCCAAATGAACTCAAAGAGTTGCCATTTTCTACGTGCTTTTAGAAATCTAAATCAAAGTACACATTGGGTGCAGGGTGCCCATTATTTGGTGTCATATAAAATGGCATCAAGAAGTTACCGATTTTTTTTATGATAAACTGGGATACTCCTTGTCCAGATTATAACGCAAGGCAATACAAAAATTGAAGGGAAACAAAACTTTGGTGTTACAAAAGTAAAATAAAGTGTAATTACATCTCATACTCCTGGAATGCAACATCAAAAGAATGCTATTAATTTTGTTAAGATTGTGTTCAGAGATCTCTTTCCGATCCCTCATCATCCTCGTCATCCTCTGCCAGATGAGAACCACTGTACAGCACCAGTTAAGTGAGAACTGATAAGTAAATAAAATAGGGTAAAATACAAAAACCTCCCCTAAAGGCTCTGACAATCATAAAAACCTCCCCTAAAGGCTCTGACAATCATAAAAACCTGCCCTATAGTTTCATTTTAATAAATATCTCCACTGAATTTTTGAGAAACTCGACAAAAATCTCCCTTCCATCACCTTCCCAGATGGAAAACGTTAGACCGATGCACCAGTTTCTTCCAAATACCCATTCTACCTTTTTATAAATTATTTTACATACAAAATGACTAAAATAACACTATTTTAACTTGACAAAAACCTCCTCTAACGATCATCTTCTAACATTTTTGTTGAGTTAAAACATGGTTATTTCAGTATTTTTGTATGTAAAATAGTTTTTAAAATGGTAGAATGGGTATTTGGAAAAAACTGGTGCATCTGTCTAACATTTTCCATCTAGGAAGGTGACCAAAGGAAGGTTTTGTCGAGTTTTTCAAAAGTTCAGGGGAGGTATTTGTTACAATGAAACTATAGGGGAGGTTTTTATGATTGTTAGAAACTTTAGGGGAGGTTTTTGTATTTTACCCAATAAAATAATCAGTTTGAGATTACACCATCTACACCACCCACAAAAAGAAGTAACCTGTTGCGAGTTGAAGGGGCATTTTCTTAGTAATGATAAAGGACTTGAGGGTCCATAACTTAACAATGGGTACAGACTGAATTAGAGTGGAATGGCAGAATAGGATTCATGAAACCGGCCAACAAAGCTTAGCTGAGTTGAGTTTAGATCATACCATGAAAGCTTAAATTGATAATCCTTTATCCTAAATTTGTTGCTTGTTTAGCAGTATGATATAGGTTTAAGATTGGATGTGATCTTACCTTGTTTGACTGCAGTGCTTGCTGAGATCTTGGCATAGAACCTTGCTTACGTCTCCTACTTTAACAGATCCTTTTCTTATCAACTCTGCAAACTGCAGAGGATTATCAAGCCAGTGGAGTTAATTCATTCCACTAAACAGATTTTATAAAACAGAGCAAGTCCATATTAAATATGTAAACAACTAATAATAAGAAACTGACCTCATCTTCTGTTTCTTCAAGTAACCTGTTAATTAAATCAAAAAATTTCAGGTCAAGTAATTCATGGTAACATACAGCATAATGAACAAACCGAAGCCTCCACATTAGGTAATACAAGCATTATAGATGAGCATAATTGTCTTACCTCCCACAATAAGAGGATATATCTTTAGAATATGCCCGTGCTTCTTGTTTATCTATCATCACATCAAACACACCTCTCAGTACACACCTGTACATTTTATAGTTTCAATTGACAGCAGAATAGTATATACATCATACAGACATGGCTTTACAACAGAAAATTTCAGGAACATATAGTGTGGCTGAATCAAAGAAACAATGCCAAAAATCCTGACATCAAGATTAAAGTAAATACAACCTCCCTTCTAGTGTAATACATCTTTCTGCTTAGGAAGTATTGGTTCCTCGGGTGTTGGAGATCCTCTAGAAATCTAAATGTGAATAACGAATAAGAAAATGAGAGGAAAAGAGAAATAGAAGAGAGAAGAAGAAAACTCCAAAATTACAAGAAAACTCCCAATATATCTGATATTACATTAAAGTCAGTAACCATATATTGTCTTCCTAAAATATCCCCATTCCTCGTTCAAACTGAATACTACAACACTCTTCCTCAATCTAGAACCAGCTACTTTACACAGAAAGAAATAATGTAATCTTGGTGGCAATGCTCTAGAATTCCTCTCAAGCAAGGCAACTTTAAGATTCTAGCATGGTAGTAACCAAGTCTTACACCCCACACTTACAGGGATTCAATCAGTTTGATTACACTCCTGACAGCACTTTTGGCTCTTATCCATAGTGAGAAAAGTTTTGAACTGATTAAATGGTGGGTCACGACTCTTACCCAAGACACAACCAATCATCAAGTCCACCTCAGTACATTTTATATTACCAACTTAACAAAGATCAAATCATCAACATCATCCATGCCTTATCCCAATTATATGGGGTCGACTACATGGATCCTGTTTAACCAATCCGTTATATTTAAAGTCATGTCCACTGTTAAATTATTAGTGTTTAAATCATTTCTTACTAATTCTTGCCATGTCCTTTTTGGTCAAGCCCCATCCACTGTTAAATTATTAGCTCTTCTAGTCCCATCCTCTTGTAACAAATCACTTCTTCTAGTTGGCGCTGTTGGTGGTCTTTATACATGTGACCAAACCATCTTAGTATACTCTCTCTCATTATATCACCTATTGGAGATACTCATAGGTTCCTACAAATGACTCCAATCCTGCTCCTATCCTTTCTAGTTTTTCCACTCATCCATCTTAGCATTCGCAACATTCATTTTCTGGACATGTTTTATAGAATTTTTGATAGAAAACACAGAAAATCATTCATTCATTAAAATTTCAAAAAGAGAAGATTACAGCAAGTGAAAAAAAAAATCAAAATCCATTCCAGAACAGATCCAACAACCGTATCACCCCTCTGTTTTGCCCAACCTGCTCTAATTCTTTGCATGACATCCTCCTCAATCTCTCCCTTGTTATGAATTATTGAACCAAGGTACCAGAAATGGTCACATTGAGTTTATGCCTTGGTCTCTAATCCCAAGTCTACCCTGATTTTTTTTTTTTTTTGATCAATAACACTTTCGTTAACTCATCAATAGAAAAATTACATTAGGAAGACAAACACACTTATCTTCCAAGAACAACAAAGAGCCTCAAGAAAAGGAAAAAAAGAAAGAAAACACACTATTATTACTAAATTTACATGCCATATTCTTTGCTTTAGTCCTACTTATTTTAAAATTTCTTGTTTCTAAGGCATTTGTTCATAAGCTTAATTTTGCATTTAATCCTTCATTGGTTTCATCAATTGAAACAATGTCATCTACAAACAACATGCACCATGGAACTTCTTCCTAGGTATGTTTAGTCAATTCGTCTATGATCAAGGCAAATAAGTAGCAGCTAAGTGCTGAACCTTGGCGAACCCATTGTAAATGTAAAAATCTGAAGTCTTTTTTTGGTAAGTAACAATAGAATTTATTAAAAAGAAAAACTGGATACAATCCTAAAGGCAGGTGTTAGGACAACACCCCCCCCCCCCCTAAGCCCAACATCCCCTACTACTCTCCTACATCAACACAACAAAATAAAAAACAGAAAGAGAATCCAAAAATGCACAACCACGGCATCATCACGCAACAAATACTACTAGACATAGATCAATCTTCCACCCCACCAAATTCTTCTATGTCTCCACCCTCATCCCAAATTTCTCCCCCCAAGGCTTCAGAAGCCTTTCTCATATTCTCCTCCTTTCTCTTTCTTTCAAGCTGTTCAAAAGTTCTCCTGGCAAAGCTTTCTCCTCCTAGGAAAAACAGTCCCAAAGCCTTGCCGACTTCTACCTCCCTATCAACTTAAGTATTCACATCCACACTTCCTTTCTTCATTTCCTTTTGCTCCGGCAACAATTTACTAGAGGCCTCATCTACATCAGTTCCATCCAATGTTTTAAAACACGGAGGCATGAGGTGTAGTTAGTAGTTCAGAACGTAAGATGCGTAAGCCTCCCGAACACAAGGAGGTTTGTGCCTCCTTAAGAGGAGTGTGATGAGGAGGAAGGGGGAGAGAAAGAAGACGGAGGATCTCATTTTTCTTTATTTTTAATAAAAATCTTTTATATTAAAAAGAACGAAGATGAATAACACTAGTTGAAAGAGGAGGAGGTGGCATACACCTCTAGCACGCCTCATTAAAAAAGCGTATGAGGCGTACACCTCAGAGGTGTCAATGCCTCTAACATGCGTCTTAGGGCATTTTTGGGGTGCCTCACCTCACGCCTCCGGGCATACGCCTCCCACGCCTTTTAAAGCATTGGTTCCATCCTTGCGTGTAGACCTTGAACAATTAGTCTTTTTCGACTTTTCCCATTGAGGAGCCACAACCACCAGAGTAATCATCTTACCAGCCCCTACAAAAGACGGAGTACATTCCAGACTAGGATTCACAAGATTCCGGGTTTGGAATTTTGCTCCCCTCCTTTTATAAATTCTTTTATACTTGTTGGTCGGCCTTGCTCCCACCAGACCATCTTTCAACCTATAGAAAAAACCTTTGTGACATGAACTACGTTGAGCTTGCTTGAAGCTTTGGGCTTCCTAGGAATCCCCAAGACATCACCACTTTTGACCAAATTAGACTCTTTGCTCCTTTTGCCCAAATCAACTCCAATCTTCCAACAATCACTTCAAAAACCATGTAATCAGAACCATTTAAGTCATTCACCTTCTCGTTCTCACCTTCTTTAAGGCTACCTCTTATTTCCTTGTCACCTCCTACCTAGAGGTGTAAATCAGGCCTTGCTGCCCGTGGCCCAACACGGCCAGGCCCGACTTTGGACCGGCTTGGAACGACCCGACTCAATGGCACGCGGGCCATGCCAGGCCCGACACGATGATCCGAGCTGTGCTAGGCCTGGGGTTCGAAGTCCATGGGCCGGTACAGCCCACGGGCCCGTAGCAGGCCATGCTTGACCCTCCCGAGAACTAGTCGTTGGGGACCCCCCCCCCCCACAACGGCTAGTTTCAACTTTTTGGGGGTTTTATTATAGAAATACCCCCAACAGCTATAAACAACTATATAGGGGGGTATTTATGTATTTTGGTTATGAGGGGAGAAAAAATGACACAAATGCCCCCCAACAACTATATAACAACTAGTTTGGGGGGGCATTTTGGTAAAGTGATAAATAACTTTACAATGACCAAAATACCCCTCCCAACAACTAAAAAATGGCTAGTTTTTAGGGTATTTTAGGCAATTGAATTATTTTCAATTCCTATAAATAGCCCTATCCTCCACCATTCTCATCACACCAATTCAACAATTCTCTTAATCTCTTCTCTAGCTCTCATACCCTCTCAAGTTTCAATCTCCCAATCTCTCAAATTCTTAATCTCTCATACATTCTCTGAACTCTGATTGACTGATTCTCCAATTCTCAACTTTATTGAAGTTTCAACAAAAAGAAGGCTTGCTCAATCAGCTCAAGTATCTCAAGTTAGCAATTTGGGAGGCTTGATCTCTTGGAGTTGAATGGCTTCAACCGTTGAAATCAAGTTGGGATTTCGAACCAACAATCCGGGTAAGTCCAATTAAATTAATTTTTATTCTTTTTGAATTTAAAAAAAAATGGTTGTCTCCTCCCAAAACCAATTCCCCAACATGTTCAATGCCGACGATATTCAGTCGTGGCATGATAGTGTTAGCACCGATATGGATGCTATTGATATTGATGGAATTTCCACCCCTAGTACTGATACTAGGGAAAGAAAAAGAGGGTCTCTACGTTGATTAGCCTGGTTTGGAAAATATTTAAAATAGAGGACGTTGAGGGGAAGGGAAAAAGAGTTGTTTGCCAAAAATGTAGGAAAGACATTAGCTATTGTAGCAAGGGTGGTACTGGCCATTTGGGCAGACATTTGCCCACCCATGAGAAAGAAGAAGAAGAACAAGAAGAAGAAGAAGAAGAAGAAAAAAAAGATGGGAGAGAAACAACACAAACAAAAATTGGGCGAGGGGTTTTGGTACATTTAAATATTCTCAAGAAAAAATGAGGCAAGAATTAGCAAAATACATTGTGCATGCTAAGCAACCATTTTTGTTAGCCTAAGATACTAAACTTGAAAAATGGTTACGTAATTATGTAAATCCACAATTTAGCCTGGTTGAGTGAACATTCAAAAAATTATCTAGTTCTCGCCGCCATGGCACGTGATCTACTAACCCCTCTAGTGTCTATAGTTCCATTGGAGTCTTGTTTTAGTGCAGGTACTGGGGTGTTGAACGACAAGAAAAGTTGTATGAATGATGAAAGTTTAGAGATGTGCATTTGCTTTAAAGATTGGTTGGATGCTGAAGACATATTACAAGACAATGGAGGGCATGACACCACCTGATATTTCACTTGAAGCAAATGATGAAAATCATGAACAATAGGAGAAAATCAAAAAATGATGAAGTCAATATTTTTTGTATACTCATTCAATAGTTTTATGCAGTGATTTAAAAGGCGTGCCTCGCCTAGGTCCCAAGCGCAGCCCTTTCAAAAGGCACACGCTTGGTGCGCCTAGGCGTGCGCCTTGCACCTCAGCCTAGGGGCGTGGACTTGTTTGGGCTTGCCTCGAGGGCCGTGGCACAAAGGCGGT